TAGACGGGATATTGGGAAGGAATTCCTGGCTGTGAGGGTGGGGAGACCCTGGAGTGGATTTTCCAGAGGATACCCCATCCCTGGAAGTGTCCCAGGCCAGGTTGGAGCAACCTGGGCTAGTGGGAGGTGTCCCAGCCTGTGGCACTGGATGGGCTTTAAGATCCCTCCAACCCAAACCATTCCATGATTCCGTGATTCCATCTGAGCCAGGCAGTGGATTGCAGGGTGAATCTCTCCTAAATACAAACTGGGGATCAGTTGATCCTTTTCCACACCTTTTTCATGGTCATAAAAACGTGATCCACCTTCTTGCAACACTCAGGAGTTTGGAGTCCCTGCCCCTGAGGGAGATGTGCTTTGCCTTCAGCCCCAGGGCAGGGGTGGAACGGGATCATCTTTAGGGTCATTCCAACCCAAATCATTCCATGATTCCAGCTGAGCCAGGCAGTGATTGAGTTCCTGATTCTGCCCCTCAGGGGGATGTGCTTTGCCTCCAGCCCCAGGGAACAGGTGGAACAGGATCATCTTTCAGCTCCTCCCAACCCAAACCATTCCATGATTCCATGATTCCAGCAGAGCCAGGCAGTGACTGAGTTCCTGATTCTGCCCCTCAGGGGGATGTGCTTTGCCTCCAGCCCCAGGGAAGAGGTGGAACAGGATCATCTTTCAGCTCCTCCCAACCCGAACCGTTCCACGTTTTGCTTCAGTTTTAGGACTGTCCCAACTCCATCCCAAGATTTGGTGGCAGTTCCCGACCCAGAGTGATCCATGTGCTGATTCTCCCTGTTTTCTTGCAGCGAAGGGGAGAGACCAGCCCAGAACGAGAAGAGGAAGGAGAAGGGGATGAAGAGGGGGGGGAACCGCTTCGAGCCCTACCCCAACCCCTCCAGGAGGTACCGGGCCTTCATCACCAACATCCCCTTCGACGTCAAGTGGCAGTCCCTGAAGGACCTGGTCAAAGAGAAAGGTAAAGTGCTCCTCAGGTGGCCCAGGGATGTCTTGTTGTCCTCCCTGTGCCCGACTTCCTGCAGCTCTGGGTGGACTCAGTGTGATTTAGGGCTTTTGGAGAAGGTTCTTCCGCGGCTGTTGCACGACATCCGTCCCTGGCAGCTCTCCAGGGGGATGGTTCCCGCGGGGGCATGTTGGCAGTGCAGCTGCTGGTGCTTCAGCCCGGGCTTAGGAGGATTTTCCTTAGGCCTTTCTCAGATTTTTAGCCTCCCTGGAGCATTTTTTTTTGGGCGTTCAAGGCGGTCATTTCCTGCTCTGGTGTGCGGAGATCCCCGACCTCGGGGCGATTTTGGGGCTCAGTTCACGGGCCATTAAACGTATTTAAGGGTGACCTGCCAAAAAAGAGCCATCAGGGTTGTGCTTTGGCATGTGCTGCAGCAGGCTCAGGGTCCTGGCATTCCCACTTCCACGTGGGAGCTGCCTTTGTTGGCCTCAACACCTTCATCTCTGGAGGAAGGTGAAGAGATTGAGCTGAGAGGGCTCAGGTGGTGACAAGTCTAAATTAGTGTCATTTCTCGAAGCTCGAGCCCAGCTTCCTAGTTTTCAAGTCACCTGGGAAATGCAGGAGAGTGGCAAGAAAATCCTTGGCTTCTCCAGCATTTCAATGGCTCCAAACAAGTTCAGAGCAAGCAGCACCTTAAATCCAGAGTCATGGTAGTGAGCAGTGTTCACTTGTGCTTGAACTGGGCAAGGATGGAGAGTTCCTGTGGTCAAGGTGTGGCCTAATGAAGGGGAAAACAAATTTCCAAAGGGTTCTAAAATGTCTTGTCTTTGGAGGCAAAATGGAACCGAGTCTGTCAGGGCTGGAAACCCCGGGAAGCTCCAGGATTAGGGGCTGGTTGAGACCCACCAGTGTGGTTTTCTTTAATGCCAACCACAGCCTCCAGGGCTGCTTGGACAGGCCCCTAATCCTGCAGGGTCCCTGCTCCCACTTGGCTCCACCAGATCCATCGGTTTCTCCGGAGATTTGTCTTAATTCCAAGTGCTTTTGTTGAATTCCGTTCCAAGTGTCTTGTGGTTTCTCTCCAGATGGAAAAGTCCGGGGTCAGCTTGTTCCCTGCCTTGCTGTTCAGCTGCTCAGTCCAGCAGATCCTTCCCTAGGGCAACGGTGAAGCCTCTTCCTTCCGCCTGCAGGGCTCCAACTGGGAAGCAATTCCTGGTTTTTGGGACTGCCTGACCAACTCACCACTCCAGCTTTCCTGTGGAGTTGGGATTCACTTCCCTCCCTCAGTCCCAAGAACCAGGAACGTGCCCTTGGAAAAAAACCAAACCAGACCTGTCGTTTTTGTTTCGTTCCGTGTGAAGAATTCCAGGCCCAACCATTCCCAGGCTTTTCTTTTTGGTTTTTTTTTTCCCTCTTTTTTTTTTTGGGGAGGGAGCAGGTGACACTTTTGTCCAGCCCTGGTGGTTTGTGGCAGTAAGTATTTGGGTCAGGAGCCAACCTGGTGGTGGTGGCCAGGCTGCCAAAGGTGCCACCTCTTCCTCTCTCTCTCTCTCTCCCTCTCTCTCTCTCTCATTCCCAGGCATTCCAGGGTATTTGTTGGTGCAACTCAATCACAGGTATGCAGTGGGAACGTTGATAAAATGGAAAAAAAAAAGAAAGATGTTCTTGGTTGGAACTCCCCCTTTTATTTTTTGGGGGGTTTTTTTAGCTGAACTGAGGTGATCAGGTGGTTTAAAAGGGCTTCTGGATGGCAGGAATTCTCCCTGGAAGTGGAGGCTGAATAGAAACGTGGTTGGATGTTAAGGAGCTGTCCTGGTGTCCCCCCCCACACACCTGGGGAGAAATGTGGGAATGTTCAGGGATGCCAACTGGGGTTTGAATCCCAGATATTTCAGGATGTTGTGGTTTTAAACCACCTTCCTGCCCCGGGTAGCAAATGGCAGAGGATCCAAGGAGAAGGGGTTGGCTGTAAAATGAAGCAATAGCTGTGCCACGTTGTCTGCAGATATTAATATCCATCATTTAGGTGCTTTTCTGGACATTAATAAACAACCAGGAGCAGTTGCAGCCAAGGCCACGCTCGTGCCACACCCTTGGAAGGACAGGAGCCCAAGCTCCCTGGGAAGAAGAGCAGCTCTTTAAACCTCCTGTGCTGCCTTCTCAGCCAATTCCCAGGGATTTTTGGGGAGCTTTGTGGCCTCCTGCAGCTCTCACTGGTGCCTCTGGGTTCAGTGCCCAGGATTCTGCCACGAGCTGCTCCCAGCCCAACATTTTAGGGAGGCAAAGAGAGAGGGATGAGTAAGGAATGTGCCTTGTTCCCCTTGTTCCTCTATTTTCCTTGGGCCTTCCCTGTCTTCCCAAGGAGTCTCAGTCCTTCCCTGGCTGCAGGAGTTTTTCACTCCCTCTTTCCTCTTTTCTTCTCTCTCCAAGAGCCAAAATCTCCCCTTTTTCTGGGTCTTCTCATGCAAAAGGGACATTTATTTCCCTTCCCCATCTGGGAAAGTGCTGCCTCTTCTCTGCCTCTGCTTTGGGAGGGATGTTTTCCTTCTCCCCTTTTAACCAAAGCTGTGTAAAAAAACACGTCAAAAATGTGTTTCTCTTCCCCCTCTGTGACTTTTTAGGGGTTTCCTGTCAGGAATTTTCATCTGGAAGTGAAGGAAGAGCAGTGGCCAGCTCTGCATTTCCTCACATCGAAGCTTTTTGATCCTCTTCAAATATTCTCCTCATTCCTTACTTCACATGATTATGAGGCATCCAGACAATTAAATCATGTCTTGAGAGTCTTCCTTTCCCTGTTTAATATTTCCTTTTGGCCCTCTAGGCCAAAGAAATAAGTGGGATCTAAACCATTCCCCCCTTTTCTCCTTTTTTGGGCTTGCTCAGACTTCCTTCTCTACACCTTTCACACCTCTCAGAGCTTCTTGATTTGTCTCAGATCATTAAATTGCCCAACTTGGAAGATTTTTTAAGTTGATATTTATGTCCCAGCTGATTGTTCTGGTGAATTCCCAGAAAAATCTTCGGGATCAGGTGAAATCCATCCAAGCCAGGCCTCAGGTCACCCCGGGAACATCCTTTTCTGAGCTTCCTGAACGGTCACTGCCCAAATATTGGAATTCTGCCAGCCCAGCCTGGCTGGAAAATCCTCATTTTCCATTGCAGATCAACTTTGGGAAGTGGCTGTAAAGTTTAAAAGGGGGATAAAAAGTTTAAAAGGATAAAAAGCTGAGAAGTTTGCATTTCTGGCTGCTGCAGTGATTTCTGCTCCGGCCTCTTGAGGAAATGCCGAGTTCCCAAACTTTTTTCCAAGTGTGAGGTTTAAAGAAATAAATAAACCCAGGCTGCTCTAAGTCTTAAAGACACCTTAATTACCCTGGCATTAACTTAAAACCCAGGATTTTCTGGGAGTTCCTGCTCTTTTTCCTTTTGAAAAGCTTCCTTGGCCAGCCTCAACCCACCCTCTCCTGGCAGGATTGGGTCGTTTCACGTGGTTTTCAGGTGAAAAAAAAAAAAAGCATTTTTATTGCACTTGTACTGTCCTTTGGACTTTGTCTTGGATCCTAAGGATTGGGGCATTCCCCTTTCCCTGCTTTTCCTTGAATTTGGCTCTTCAGGAAGGAAAAAAGCTCCTTCAGGTTGTTTTTAATCTCAGGGCTCGAAGGCGAAGCCCCCGAGCAGAACTGGCCCATCCTGCCTTTTCCAAGAGACTCCTGGAATTCTCGTGGTTCCCAGCCAGGGATTGGTTAGAAGAGCCAATGTTCCATTGTGTTTAATGCATCCAGGCTTGGCAAACTTCCTTGGAAGTTGGTTGTGTGGATCTGAAGGAAGGATTGTAGGTGAATCCCAGGAGCGGTTGGGAGAGAAGAGCCCTCGCTCCGAGGGCTTGGAATGTTCTTGGGAGCAAAGTCACAGAATTCCAGCCTGTGGCTCCGAGTGGTTTTGTCCTGTAGGCCCCCTGGGAAGAATTTGTTGTCTCATTCCCTGAATTTGTTGTCTTAATCCCTAAATTGTTGAATCCATCCCAAGTTTGGTTGGACTTGGCTGCTGCTCTTGATGGCTGGCGACAGAACCTTGTGGGAATGCTGAGATTCCAACCCCCCTGGATCAGCCCAGGAAGGGCTGTTCCTCACACAGCCCCTTGGAATTGTCCTGGGTGATCTCATCCTGGATTATGGACTGGAATTCCTGCTGTTAGGCTGGATATCAACAGGGATTTCGCTGTGGGTTGGAATGGGACACTCTGGTAGAGCTGCCCTGGCCCTTTCAGAGGGACTTGTCAGCCCCTTCCAGCCTCCAACACTATCCCAAAAACATCTCCCTGCTCCCTGGCTGGAATGCTGGTAGTGCTGAATTCTTATTGAAAATAAGAAATGGAGATTAAAAGCAAAGAAATCAGTGATTTCATCAAGCATTCCTTTCTTTCTCAATTTTAAGAGAAGCCTTCCAGGCTGTTACTTTTCTGTAATTATATTAAATATAGGCTATTTGATGTTATTAATATATAATTAATATTTTATATTTATAGGATAAATTGCTGGCCCTGTGGGAGGTCAGGCTGAACACCTCCCTCTGTCCCTTGGGAGACTCCATTCCTTGCTTAAATTATCCATTAATCCTCCCACTGGGTGGTGGTTTCCCACAAACACAACATCCCACCTTCCAGGTAACACAACCTGGAGTCCTCCTGGGTTTAATTTTACCCCCAGGACTTCTAAAACCAGCTATAAAAAGCAAAAAAAAAAAAGC